AACCTTCGGGAATGAGGTCCAGGAATCTATGTTGCAAAGTTCAGAAAGTTCTGTATATTCTCAAAGGAGGAGTTTAAAAGAAAAGGTGAGTGTGATGAAAAAATATACAAAAGCAGAAGCAGTAAAAATCTGAAAAATAGAGGATTCACTGCAAATGTGAGAAAACTTTTTTTTTGTGATCATGTATGCCACATATACTGAAAGCAGTGAGCTTAGATTTGGTTTTTTTTTTTTTAAGAGACTATTTTATTGTATTGGCAGAGAGAGAGAGACTGATTGCTGATTTAGACAAATAGTATTTCTAATGGTTCACTCTCAAAATGAGGACAAAATGTGCCCTCTCCACCTTGGCGCGGAGTCCTGATTCTGAATTAAATCTGGGACCTGGAGATGCATTCCAGGCAGGAACCCAGGCAGTGGAAGCATCGACTCCGCTTCCCAGGGACAGCATTAGCGGGAAACTGTAGTCAGGAAGTAAAGTTGGAAATGGAACCTGCAATCGGATATAGGACACAGACGTCCTAACTACCGGGTTAAATGCCTTTCCTGAGCCTGAATCCTCTATAGTTAATGGTGTGTAGCTGCTGAATCAAACATGTCATTCCTTACTCTGCACTTCCAAAGTGAATATAACAATTCCAATTCTGATTTATTAAAGCCACCGTTAGTTTAGCTTTTAGTTACTTGCAGCCAAAAGCACATCTGAGTCAATAAATTTATGTTTCTTTTTGCTGGTAGGAGGTTTGAAGGATCTTAGTCAAACCAAACAATAGAAACAATTTTGTCCTGACAATCTATTTGACTATAGACAAGTGAAACTAGTCTTTGTAATACATTTATGTGGTAATAAGAGGTAAGGAAAGTTTATGAATAAAAATGACAATATTTAGAGAGTATTCATTACACCTCAAGCACCAGGGCAGGAACTTTTTTTAAATAAATATCTAACCCAAGCCTCATAATATTCTCCTGATACATAACTCACCATGTTAACGGGAAAATGAGTGAGCTTCCTTATGAAGGTGAGGAATATCAAAGTGGACAATACATAGTTGTTGGATGATCAAAGCTATAAAAATGAATATGGCAAACTTATTTTCAGTCACTTTTCCTGACATTTTTGTTATGTATCTTCTTTTGCATTAACTTAAATCCTTCAGATATTCAGCAGCACAAATCATGTCAAATCCTGCTTAGGACCCCTTTCTCCACAACATTCCATTAGCAGTTTGGATTTAGGACCGCACTAAATGATCTAGAATATACAGTATTCTGAGGTACTAAAACACAAACAAACAAACAAAAAACCAAACCTCTCATATCTAGAAGAGTACAGGGTATTCAAGCAAGAAATAATTCCTGTCAGTTGGTGTCATCCAACCACTTTACATTTTTTTGCATATAAATACTTTTCATTATGTGACTTCAAACTTTTTTAGGCTTGTCTGTAATAATATTCAATTTAATTAAATAAATAGTTCATTTGTTACTAATAGATAAAGAGTTCTCTGTGATGTTTCTCTTGACGTTCCTCTGTGGTGAACCAGGTTAAGTGAAATGTGAGAACATCCACGACTGTCTCTCATGGAGTCCCTTCCTTCTCTGCCTCTTCCCACTCTTGCTTACCATTCTGCAAGGAGCGGGACTGACCCAGTCACATATGTATAACTGTGTTTTGGGCAAAGGATCTGGTTTTAAAAATACTCTACTGTTATGTCTTTATCTTGTCCTAATGCTAGATGCATGTGACAAAATTGAGGGATTAAAGATCTTAACTATTATTACATTGAAAACTTTATAACATTATCCCTTTAGTTTTTTAGATCTTGAATTGATCAGGTTATCAGCAAAGACTCCAATAGTTTTGATTCATTACGCCAAAAGGAACATAGCCTAAACATCTGCCTATTATTTTGGAAATGCAACTTCTCTTCAAAGAATGTCTACATTCCAAATAGCAACTTTTCACAAGGCTTAAAATCTCTGTTAATGTCACAGTGTAACTGAAAGGTATAGTGACAGAATTTTGTCGGACCATTGCAACAGTAAATCACATGATCACGTTGCTCTTTATTATGTCCCGATGTGTCTCTATATCTCTTTACATTTATGGGATAATTGTACCTAAAATTCAAAGGATTAGACCAATAGAATGGCATCATTGAATTGCAGGTAGTTCAACTTTTTTTTTTTTAAGGAAACACAGGAAACACTGAGTCACCCAATATTTTCTTGGTTTTCACATTGAGAAATATGCCAGTAAGGAGCTTTCAGAGCTGAATGTCTTAATGTGATGTGCATGGTTATTCCTATATTGCTTTAAGCCTTTATTTTCCATTTGCAGAGTTAAAATATAAAAAGCAAGCTATACAGTACACTTATCCTGACGGTGACAGTAAAGTTTTATCATGTATGTGAGTCACATTTCATTAAAATGCATACAAATATGCTCGGAGATATGTCTGTCTCCAAATAGATCTATGCATTTTCATTCACGAACCTATATAGATCCATGAATAAAAAATGTATTACAATTATGTTCTAAAAGGATGTTCAGTCATTTTTCATGACCACAATACTTTAGGAGCATATACTGTATAATTGAGAACTGCAACAAACAAACCCATAAAATGAACAGATTCTGGCTTATTCCATTATCCTCTCTGCTAGTGTACTATAGCAATGATTCATCCATCACTTTAGCATCAAATTCTTGATGAAGTAGGATGTATAATTCAATTTTCTATTGTGACTCCATTGGAGGAAAAGTTGGAGCAGAGCCAACGTGGCTTGAGCAGCTCGGAGGCTTTGTGAGCGTTATTTCAGGAGGAGGGGAGGCTGCCGTTGACCTAGGCGAGGTCTGGTTAATTTGCTCTTGTGTGAAGGAGGTTTGCCAGAGTGTCACGGCGGGGCTATTTTATTGCAGCATACCAACAGATGCTTCAACAATGATGAAAGAAAAAAACGTTTTCATCCTTCTCAGGGTCGCCTGTGCCTGTCAAGGGCACAGCCCGGCGCGCTGGTATTATGTCCAACGTGCTGAATACGTAAACTGACAAAAATGATTTTCGATGGGAGTCTCGGGGAATTTTTGGTTTTTAAACTTCTTTTACGTATTTGGTTTCTAAGCCATTGAAGAGTAAATAATAGATGCCGTCAGGTCGTGAACAGACAGAACGCACCATTTCCCTTGCCTGTGAGCTCTCTCAGAAGGTTGTACAAATTTAAAATTTTCCAGTTGTGGCGTGAAGGACTGGAAAACTGCAGAATTTATGTCCCCGTCAGGAAGTAGGGGTAGCGAAAATAGCAGTGAGGGAGGAGGTCTCGGCTGGAGCAGGGCTGCGTGGTTCAAACAGGCGAGCAGACGAAAATGAAGCGCGGTGGAACTTAGCTAAGGTACACATCCTTAAAAAGGTGTTGAGTAGGGGAAGGCAAACCGTTTTCTTTTTAAAGTAAATGTCACGACGGGTGGTTCCCCTTTTCCTTCTGACTCGCAAAAACATCTTGAAGGTTGGGACCGGGCGGGTTACCTTTCAGCACCTCAACAGTGCAGGTTCCCCTTGGTTTTTTTTTCTCATTTCCTCTTTGCCTCAGAAAGGAAGGCGCGGAGCTAAGATGCTACAAGTGAACTCAAAGAGCCACCAGCTCGGCCAGGGTAGAAAAAGCACTCCCCCCCCCCCCAACGAAAACGTCGGGGTTCGAAGCGCGGATCCCGCAAGGCCTGTTCGCGAACGCCGCGCTTTTTAACCCCTCAGGTGCTGCAGCGGGTCACCCCCGGCCTCCCCGCGCCCACAGCCGGAGTGAGCTCTCTTCCCCAAGGAGGAATCAAGCCGGCAGGCACTTGGGTCACGGCCGGGGACTGGCATCCAGTCCGGTGTGGAGCAGCGGCTCGAGAGTCCGCCTGTCCTGGCCAGGAGCGCTTGGCCTCGCCCGGCCAGGTCGGGGGGCCCGGAGGGGCGCAGTCCCCCCCGGGGGGCGGGCGGCACGGGCGGGCCCTCCCTCCCCACCCCAGGTGAAGGACGTCCGCACTCCTGCGGCAGTCATCGCTCTCCTGCCTCCACACGTCAGGGGAGCGGCCGGGCCCCGCGCCCGAACAGCAGCTGTGACGGCCCGAGTCGCCGCCCCCTCCATCTCCTCCTCCCCCGCCGCCCCCTCGCTCCCCACCCCACCGCCCCGACACGTCATGGAAACACGGACGTCAGGCCGGGCCAGCCAATGGCAGGCGCCGGCAGCCGGGAAGGGGCGAGGGCAGCCAGCCGGCCGCGGCGGCGCTCGGGCTAGGAAGAGCGCGAGTCCCCCCCGCCCCTGCCGCCCCTCCCGCCCGCGCGCGCGGCGAGTTCCAAGCGTCGGGGGCGCGCGTGCGCGCGGGGTCCGCCCGGGGGCGCGCGCCCGCCGGGCCCTCCTCCTCCTCCTCCTCCTCCCTCCCTCCCTCCCCTTAAACGCCGTCCCGGGGCCGCTCGGCTCTCAGTCCCGGTCCCGGCCGCGTTCCCTCCGCGCGCGCGCGCGCTTGCCCGCCCCCAGGCTCCCCGCGGGCCGCGTCACGTGACCGCGCCCAGCCAAGGCGGCGGCGGCGGCGGCGGCGGCGGCGGCACTGGCAGCGTGAGCAGCTGGGCCGCCAGCGTGGAGCGGGAGGCGTGTGGGTGTGAAGAGAAGGGAGCGCCAGACCGGAACGGGTGAGTTTGTTCTCTCCCTCCCGGCAGTCGTGCGTGTGTGAACCTGGTGCAAGCCGGGGGTTGGTGGTGGTGGTGGTGGGGGAGGGAGAGGGCCCCCCCTTGCACCCCGATCCCCAGCCTTCCCGGGGCTCGGCCCGTCTGCCCGCGGCTTGCCCCGGGAGCCTCCCGCCCCGAGCGCGGGGAGCGGGCGTGCACACTCCGGCCGCAGCTGCCGCGGAGGCCGGCGGCGTGAGGCCGGCGGAGCTGCCCGTGCCGAGCGCGGCGCACCCAGTGTGCGGCTCTGCGGAGCCGGGGAGGCGGGTCCTGCGGGGACGCGGGCGGCCACTCGGCGGCTGCCGGGCTCTGGGCGGGGGCCGGCCGGGCGCCGCCTCCTCCTCCTCCTCCTCCTCCTCCTTCGCCGCCGCCGCCTCCTCCTCGCGGTGCAGCGTGAGTAGGGAGCTCCGGGTGCTGGACGCCGAGCGTCTGGGCTCCGCGGCCGCCTCCTCCCCGGCTGCAGCCGCTCCTCCGCGTGGTGGCCCGAGCCCCGCGAGCCGGCTGCAGGACGCGCCGACGACGAGCTCTCCCGCCCCACTGCCCGTTCTCGGCGCTTTTCCGTGTTCCTTCGCTGCCCCCTCCCCCGACCCTCCTGCAGCCTCCCTCTCCTTCCCCACCCTCGGAAAATGGTTCCCGTTGCCGGGCGAGGTGAGTGGCGGGGCCGCCGCCCGCTCGCGGCCGGGGGCCGCTCACCTGTGGGTGGGGGGCGGGTGGCGGGGTGGGCGAGACGTCGGGTGGAACCCTCCCCTTCCCCCCGCAAGGTCGGGGCTTCGCGGCGGGGGTCCTGACAGCCGGGTTCCCGAGGAGTTGGTGGGGGCGCTCGGGTGGCCCCTGGCAGGTTGTCCCCTGCCGGGAGCTTCTAAAGGTGAGCGGCTTTCCTCGCGGTGCGCCTCCGTGCCGCGGTCTGGCCGGGGAGTCGCTGCCCCTCGGCCTGGGGTCGGGGCTCTGCGGGGGCTTCTGGTCTACACTCGCAGCCCCTGGACTTGTGGGAGCCGCCTCGGCCGCGCCACAGCCCATCCCGCCACTGGCCGCCCCCGCCCCGGCGCGTGGTGACCTTGAGGGCAGCACTGCCCGTCTCCCTCTCCGCGCCCTGGGAGGGTCACCCCTCTAATCCTCGGCTTTGGCCCCCCAGACGCGTTGCGGGCTGGGAGCCGGAGGTCCCCAGGCCGGGGTAGCTGATGGATGCGTGTCAGACAGGATTGGTGATTCCCCTGGAGTTGGAGAGGTGCCTAGCCGCTCTCCCTACACCTCGCGTCTGGCCCCCGAAGATGTTCAGGGTTGCTTCCGATTGATATTTGTGGACTTAGTTTAAAAGGGGAAAAGAAGAAGGGGGCAAATCAAACAAACAACCAATCCTGGCTCCTGCCCTCCCGGTTAAATGGAAGGGTCAGCGAGCGGTAGGACGGTGTTCCAGGCGCGGGGGTGGGGGCGTGCTCCGTGGGCTCGGTCCTGCCGGGAATCCGGCGGCGGGAGCCGGTTGGAGACCCCTGATTCTGCGCCGCCCTCGACGGCCAGGTTGGTCTCTGCGCGCATCTCATGCGCCAGTTCTCGGACTCGCCCGCACTGTGCGTCTGGTGGCCGTGCTGGACTGGAGGGGGGCTCTGCCAATGCGCAGGGGCTCGGCCCGCCTCAGCAGGCGCGTTTCTGCCTTTCCCTTGGGCACGAGCGCTGCAGACGGCCGCATTTGGTGCCGCGTGCGCTACTTTTCAGGGTTATGAATAATCTAATGACTCCTGTTGGTATCGATTGCTGTTCTTGATTAATTAGTTCTGTGGATTTTTTTTTTTCATTTGTGGGTGGGTATATGCGTTGATGTGGACTGCCTTTCAACATGGAAGCCTTTGTTTTTTGTGCTTAACCTCCCCCACCTGAGGACAGTCTTGTTTTAAAATAAGGCTCTCATTCAGCGTGGGTGTGTTTTATAATAAGAAGTACTTGTAAGGGCCTGGTTTGCGTGAGACTCTCGCCCGGCAGAGGATGTGTAACCCCTTAGATGGTGGCCCACGTGAGTGAAGGGAGGGCCCTCGCCTCTTGCCCTGCGACCAGTCTTCCCCAGACTCCTCGTCCTTGTGTGTGGTGCGGGAAGATTGGGGGGAATGAAAAGGGATTGGAGGGGACTACCTTTTTAACTTGGATCTCCCTCCTTCTGTTGGTGAACTGAAATTTGAGGGAGATTGAAACGTTTTTGCTACCGAAGCCTGTGAAAGCTGGTGTGTGATAGGGGCTCGTGTAACCATGATTTCAGCGCAATGTGTTAGTCTCTGCTTTCCTTCGGATAAGACAGTTAAATTGCTGTAATTAAGGGTGGATCTCTTTCCTGATTTTGGCTTAGGTCTAACTGCATAGGTCTTCGCAGAGTAACTTACTTCTTACCATATAGTCTGCAACAGTGAGTCACTTTTGGGTGAGTTGAGGACAGAGCGCCACCTTTTAATTTAAAATTTAGTGATTTTCTTTTATTAAAATGATGAAAATTCAAAGGATGCTGTCTTCTGTCGTAGCTGTCATTACTGGCATCCCCGTTTTGATCAATTAGGGAGAATTGTCTTCATTTTTCTGTATTCTGTAGTCTTTCTGTGTTTGGAAGCAATTTCTCCTGTTTGGGAATTCGTGTTTTTTTTTTTTTTCTTTCAGGCTTTGAATATAATGTAACATTCTGAGATGAGAAGCTAGTTTTGATTCTTGCTTACAATAAAATAATAGATATATTCATACTCCGGATCAATTTAGGAGAAAAAGGAAAGGCATAGCAGCGTTGTAGATAGCTGTTTGAAGCTGCCTTTGCCACCACAGAAAGGCACTTACCACATAAGAGTGGTTTTAGAATTTTCCTTTTAAGTTACAGATTCTGAAACACTCAAAATTGGTGGAACTATTAGCCTTCTTTGAGTAAGATATAGTTAGCCTTTTGTTTGTCATCTCCCAACAACTTGCCTTTTGTGGTTTTACTGAGGATTTTACTACTTATTACTTATTTTGAATAATACAAATGAGCACTTCCAGCAGGAACACTTACATCCAAAGTTGAATAAAGACCGTGCCAGAAAAAGCGGTTTCTGAGTATGGCTCCTCTAGAATGCATCTCACAAAAGTAAATTTGTAATTCTTTAAGAACAAATGTTGTAGTGGTGGAGAGTGCTGAGATTTCCTTCCGAGTTCATTCACTTGCTCCCTCTATTCTCCCTTCTTCGCTTATCAAAGAGTTAAAGTACACAGTCTCTTTAGACACAGGGCAGTTTTTAGATTATTGTACTGCAGATGTAACATGAGAAAAGACTGAGCTCTCAAGTAATGAATTGACATGAATATCACCAAGTATAGTTTTAATTGCATAGTGCAAGATACTGCCCTCGTATCTGCATTTAAGTTTTGATTGAACACGTGCCATTTCTTCATGGACTTCTGTAAAGCATTAGCTGCTGGGCTGTAGGTAAGTCTTTAGCTAGAATTAAACAACAAAAAAATCTGCTTGAGTTGAAACATAGTTTCTAACTGTGGCACATGGCTGCTAGGTGAAAGCACAGTGTTTGCAAGCAGAATCATTTTCCATTGTTCTGTGGGCTTTGATAGGATCCTTGGTTTGGGGCTTAAATTTACTAGTTCTTGTTTGACAGACATAGAAACTTCTTTTGTGATGAAATAGTCTCTTGTCATGTGAAATGAGTTTTATGAGGAATGGCCACCTAAAAACTGTTGGTGGTCTTCTGCTAAACCAAACAACAACAAAAAGAATATTTGCCCCTTAAATTGTATGCATATGTACAGTTTTTAATTCTGAAATTTTGTCAGTAATTTGAAGAATTTGGATCAGGAAGCAGAAACATGATGTAAAATTTTGCATCTTGGGTAAGTCTATAAACTCTACAAGTTAGAAATAATAGTTTTGTAGCACATTATGATTTATGGAAAGGTACAGTAGTATATTGGAGAATATATAGTGTCTGATGTAACATTATAAGGAAAAATTTATATAATAATTATGGAATACTTTTGCTGGAGTGTAACTTAAAAAATTTTTAATTGTTTAGATATGTTACATCACATACATTATCTTGTTAAATTTTATTATACTAATTGTGTGGAAGTACGAGGGTGATATTTACCATTTTTAATAATCGTCAAAACCTATAGCTCATGTAATTTTATTTATACCTTCACACAAGAAACAGATCTACTACAAATGGATACAAAGACAGGTCACTGAACATTCTTAGGTTTTGTAATTGCAGCTTCGTTCAGTAGTGTCTGGTATCTAATTGATTCTGAAAAAATTAAATTTTGTGTGCTGCAGTGTTTTTATGGCCTATGCATTTTGATTTTTCAGCAATCTATAAAGATTGCTTCTAGGTTATAACAGATCCTGGAAGAGCCTGATTTTGCTGTCTTAATGCCTTTGATTTATGAAGGTCTTTACAACTTGTCATAGTGTCTCATTTGAGTCTCATGGTGACTAATCCTGTGTTTGGAGTGAAATAGATGCAGTTGTATCCCTTTGGTTGAAAGTAAAATGATTTTTCTGGGCCCTAAGCTCACAGAACTAGTAGGGAGGATGGCGAGAACTGGGCTCAAGGGGCTTCTGGTTTTTGCTTGTTGCTCTGTTATACATGTTTATGTGAGTCTAGGAAAACCTAGCTTCTGATCAGAATAAATTTAATACTGGGATATAAATAGGTTTGTTTGTGTTTTCCTTTATGAATTCAGTCATCACTTATATTTGGTATTAACGTAAACAGCTGATTTATTTAACAGCGGAGTAAATGAGTTTGAAGTATTTCAGATGCTGCATTATTACTGGATTGACTTTTTAAATTTGATTTTTTTTCCAAATCTGTTGGTCTTTGAAATGACTAGGATTGTCTTAAATCCCGAGTTAACAAAGTGAGCTGTATTAAAGTTTTGTTTAGCTTCTTCTATAATTGCTTATGCACTTATCTTCTGCCACGTTTATTCTCTTTTTGAAATATTAATTGATGTGTTGAAATTTAAACATTTTACGAGGCCCTAGATGAGAGTTTAGTTCCTGACGTGTAATGTACTGCTGCTAGTGCTGCAGACAACGGGGCTTCAGCAGCGTGTGCGTGAAAGCTACCCTGGGGCTGTTACTGGAAGTGCAGGTGTCTTCCCATTGCCCCTACAGTGTTGATTCAGCACATGTGGGGTGGGGCCCAGCAGTCCTCATTTTGAGAAACACTGACACTGAATTATAAATGAGTTAAAGTTATATGGTAGAGATGCCTTTATAAATCAAGAGGACATCGCTGGTGCAATTGATTTTGAATATAATTGAATTACTGCTTTCCAATAGTAGTTGTAAATATGATAGCTAAGTTTACATTATTGATGTTGGTAGGTTTTGTGATAATTTTCAAACAGGAATTGAAAATATTTCCATCATCTACATGTAGTCTTCTCAAAAAATCTGTGCAGTCTCTTTTTCTGACTGTTTATTTGTCTGAAGGAGTTACAGAGAATGAGACGGAGACAAGGAGTAAGAGACAGCATCTTCCATCTACGGCTTGCTGTGCAGATGGCTCAAGTAGCCAGACTTAAGCCAGAAGCTTCTTCTAGGTCTCCCATGTGGGTGGCAGCAGCCAAACTCTTGAGCTATCTGTCACTGGTTTTCCCAGGTTACTAACAGGAAACTGGAA